CATTACGTGAAAACCCGTAAAAAGAGGTGCATCAGCGCACCACTTTAATTACAGTTTTTGAACTGAAGATCGGTAATTCAGTACTTCAAACGATAGTGAATAGCAATATAATATATTATTTGTGAATTTCAAATAGTGTCATTTAACTATGTAAACATAAAACAATATTTCAGCGAGTATTTAGGAAGTGGGCCCCAGGGACCCGCTTCACCAGAGGGTCATTTTAAATCAGATTTACACGTAACTCCCTGATATTTGAGCCATATGTTGTTGAGAATCCGATTCTTTAGACTTAAAAGAAGACATTGCGCTCATAGAAAAACCTCCGACTATATAATGAGAAATGTCCTTTCTAGCAGCATTTCCCTGGTTTCCGACCACTGTGCGTGGTGATTTGTTGCTGATGACACGGCGGGTACAGTGACTTTGGCTGGGTTGGTTGGGTGGGGCTGTATATCGGGTCTCGGCTCATGGGTATGGGAGGGAGAGAAGGGGGGGGGGCTGAAATGTTCAGAAAGCGACGAGAGATTGGGAGGAAACGCAGGATGAGGATGGGAGTGAGACAAGTGAGTGGAGGAAAAGGGGAAAAGAGAGAGAAAAGGAGAGGAAAGGGGGAAGGGAGGGAGGGCGTCGGCCTTGAAGCTGCTCACACCAGCTGCAGCAGCTGCAGCCAGGCTGGCGGGATGTTGACCCCAACCCGTCGGGCCCACCACACCACGACGGCCCCCGCTGCCGCAACACGCCGCGCGTCTCTCCCCCCGCCCCACCACGCCCCACCACACCCCACCACGCCCCGGCGCGCCCCGGCGCGCCCCACCCCACCGCGCCTCACTCCGCCGCGCCCGCGGAGTTGGAGCATCCGCGAGCAGCTCAAGTCGAAGTCGAACCCAGCAAAGCCGGTAGGTAGGCAACGAGGAACGCCGCAGTGCGGCTGCCGCGTATGTATCGTGTTCGCGTTCGACACAGGCGCCTTGTATGCTAATGCATGGTGAAGATTACATATTGGATTTGTTTTCTTAGTTTTCTGAAGTTTCTAACGACGAACGTTGGTCTGCTTTACGGTCGAATTAATGAAAACCTTGAATTCTACTCGACAACAAGGAGGGGCACACCCAGTGACGAA